CAGTTCAGGCTGGCCTTGAGCTCACTTTGTAGCCCAGGCTGGTCTCAAACTCGCAACAATCCTCCTGCCTCAGCCTCCTGAGTGCTGGGATTAAAGGCGTGTACCACCACACCCGGTGGGACACATGTTTGATTCTGACAGGAAGCATAGGAGAGGCTAAGGTAGGGTGTGGGTGGGAGTGATGCCGGGAGCCGGGCAAGGGAGCACCTGGCAGGTGAGGACAGTCTGCAGGGTTTCCAGGCCCTGCGGGCTGGGAGTGCTTTGACCCCAGAGCACGGAGTCTGGGGCCTGGCCTGGTACCACTGCATTGGGCACTGAGCCCCTAGGGCGGGAAAAGAGGCGCCAGGCCAGGTGTTGAGGCAGGGCTCACCTCCACCTCCCACCCCCGCAGCCCCAACTGGCCGCACATGCAGGCCTCCCTCCGTCTCACTCTCTGTCCCCTGCAGTTCCCGGGCCTCTGAGGCTGAGCTGTCCACAGGGGCCCTCGACAAGCTGGGCGGGAGGACAGGGGTGCTGTTACCCCAGGAGCCCCTCCTGGCCAGAGACAGTGCCTTCCTGGCTGGAGAGGCAGGTAATACTGGGTGGCACTCAGGGACCTCATACGCCACCCCCCATCCCTGAGGAGAGCAGGTGACCAGCCCTGAGCCAGCACTGTGTGCTCTTGCTGCATGGGTGGCTCCACAGCGCAGCAGCCCAGGTACTGCGGACAAGTCACCTGAGCCCCTGGGCAGGTATGTGCCACATGGGGCCACCTGCTGGCTGGGACAGGGGCTAGTGCTGGATTTGCAGATCTTGGGCTCCAGGGGTATGTCTGGGGGCTGTGTGGCCCCAGAGCAGGTGGTAGGGGAGGCTAGACTGTGTTCAGCCTCCACCTCAAGCTGAGGCAGGAGGATCCCAGGTTTGAGGATAGTCCAGGCAAAGTAGTGAGACCCTGTCTCAAGATAAAAGTGAAAAGAGACTGGATGTAGCTCCATGATAGAGCACTTGCCTGGTGGGTGCAAGGCCTTGGTGCTGGGAACCAGCTGCCCCTGCCCCTGTCCCTGCCCCTCCCCCTGCCCCGAGGGCACACAGACTCTGTCCATCCCCATTTCTGTTAAAGAAGAAACAGGCATGCCTTAAATCTTCTGTGATTCCAGAAAATTCTCACCTTGAGTTCCAAAAAGAGAAAGAGAAAAAAATGAAATTTAATAAACCTAGTAATGACTGGGAAAGTGCTAGAGAAGAGGTGCAGGTTGATCCCAGGACCTGAGGTTGGGCAGAGTAGGGCACCCAGGGTGGCCATGAGGGGCACAGGACACAGTGTACATGGTCAGGTTTCCCCTGGGTGCAGTGTTTTCCTCTATTTTGTAGCAGTGCCAGGGCGGGGCTCCTTTTCAAGAGTGAATAATATTCCTGTCTGAGGATCTGCGCAACTGGATATGAGTTGGTCTTCAAGGACATTAGGATGTTTTCACCAGTTGACCATAAACAATGTTGCTATAAACTTGTATACACTGGCTTGTCCAAGTCTAAGGTATATAAAATTGCTAGCTCTTTCCTGTGTTGTTTTGGAGGAATAGGCATGAAGATTACAATGTATCCATGTTCTCAGCAATACTTGTTATTTAAACTTAGCCTTTGGCTGAGTACACTGGAGTCCTTGGGGTTGATGGGGGTTCCCCATTTTGCGTCTTCTGGGGCTCACTGGCCAGGTATGTCTGGGAGGAGTCCCAGGTCCCCTGCCGCTTTCTGACCTGAGTGGTGTTCTGTCCTGTCAGGGATGAGTCCCAGCTCTGCCAAGTGTGGCTGAGAAGCTGCCCCATCCAGCAGCCTTGCACTCAGTGCCCTGGTCTCTGGGTCCTTCTGGCAGGACAGGGCTACCTGGTATCCTTGTGTGGGCACTGTATCAGCACTACCCCAAGGACTGAGCAGAGGATGGTGCTGGGAGCCAGCTGCCCCTGCCCCTGCCCCGAGGGCACACAGCCTCTCTCCAGACTAAAAATACCCAGCCGGTCCAGTGTAAACTGATCACAGTCATCACAGCTGTGATGTCACACGGCTGGCCACATCCCAGTCCAAGGATGGCGCTGTGCACACAGTGGCCTTCCCTCTGTACCCACTCTGAGGACTGGCACGGGGTGGGGACTTTCGTAGGCCGAAGCAGGTCTGATTTCAGGCAGGAGTTGGGGTTGGGGAATGCCCCGTAGGCAGGAGCCCCGTGCTCCGTGGCGCTGGGGAGGGGTCCTGTCCCACTCACAGCTGGGGACAGAGAAGCCAGCTCTGCACCCCACCACACAGCCTAGCGGACACA